TGCATACATATCTTATCAAAAGCATGTTGATATGCACACATATCTTATCAGAAGCATGTTGCCATGCATACATATCTTATCAGAAGCATGTTGTCATGCACACATATCTTATCAGAAGCACGTTGCCATGTACACATATCTTATCAGAAGCATGTTGTCATGCACATATATCTTATCAAAAGCATGTCTCATATGTAATCACAAGAAACATTAACATTTCTATGCTATTCATATAATCACAAGGGACATTACTATGTCATACTATCATGCATATAAATTCAAAAGACTTTATTATGTCAATTACAGGCTATATAGCAATGTAGTAGATAATAGGTAACAATAATATCGTATTTTTCAAAATATTCTTGAATTAATTAATATGACTTCACATGACGAAATTCAAAGTAATTACTTGAACATAACACTTGCACATAATATTTGCACATAATACTTCTACATAATGCTTGTACATGATACTTGCACATAATAGTTGCACATAACACTTGCACATAATATGTACACATAACACTGGCACATAACACTTGCATATGACATTTGCACATAACACATATAACACTTGCATATAACATTTACAATATCTAAGATTTATGCTGCAATTATTACAGTTAAATACAGAAATACATAAACTTACAATTTCAAAATATTACAATTAAATGCAAAAATATCTCTGAAAATATTATAGAAATATTAGTTTTCTTCAAATAATGATTTTACAGGAAAAATGAAACCACTTACCTATATGTCACTATGAGATATATATGTTACTATTATTGTTAGAGTAGAACTGAAATCAAGGGTGTTCAGAAGTGAAGAGAGAGAAGACCACATCATTGGTATGATAGACCTATGATGGGTTTAAAGAGAAAGAGAGAGAGAGAGCCTTTATTCATGTGACACATGTTGCTTATGTGTCTCTTATTTTATTATATTCTTAAATGCATGTGTCATCTCATGACACATCATCAAAATGATGGATCCTTGATTGACACATCATTAAGAGGAATGATACATCACCACATGCTCAATTTTATTATTAATTTATCATTATTTTGGTGTAAAATGTGTTAGTGGAAAGGATAGTCCCTATGGTGCATTTTGACACAATGAACTATCGCTCTAATATTTTTTTATGTAAATATTTTGTTTAATTTTTATTTTATTATTACTATTATTATTATTTTTATTGTATTTATTACTATTATTATCATTATCATTATCATTATGATTTAGTTTCAAAAAAAATTAGGGTCATCACATCATGTGTTTCTGTTATATAGAAATACATGGGCAAATTTGGCCCTGAGTGTGATTTCTCTGGTAAAGAAATAAATTGGAGTCTATACATCTTTTAAATATTTTTAAAACATCCATCTTTTTAGGGATATTCACATTTCAGAGTGACCAATGTGATATGCTTGCTGCTGTATTTTCATTCTATATTGTTCTTTTGATTCTATATTATTTCTATCACTAGTTCATGTGATCTTGGATGCACAATAGATATTAATGTGACATATCCCTGTTGTATTTTGATCACCATCGATCACAATAGTATCCTCCTCCTCTCTCAATTCTCTCATTGAGGCCAGAGGGTTGCACACTTAAGAGAAAACCTTTGGGAAAAAGTATTTAAGAACATAATCTCCAAACCATTTGTCAAACCAGAACAAAGTTTAATCATCCGTTCCAACTATCTCAGGATAGTGACGAAGATATATTGATCTACAAAACTCAATTCCTTCCCAAATATGAGATAATGAGGACTTATTTATGGGATTTTTGATCAAACTAGTAGTAACATCTTCTCCGTACTTTTCTTTGAGAACCTCACGCCAAAAGAAATGTTGTTGGCAGTGACATCTCCATCACCACTTGGTCAATAAGCTTGAGTTCATGATCTTTAGCTTTCTAATTCTTAACCTCCCTCCTTAATGGGTATATAACTTTATCCCATGCAACTAAATTCAGTTTTTTCACTTTATCATAGCTTCCTCATAAAAATTCCCCAATACACAAATTATTAATTTGAAAAATCACAAAATCATTATTGCCAATGTTGATGCTCAAAATTAAACCTTTACTCACAACCGACCTAAGCATAACACACCAAAGCTTTCTGCAACAATCATATATAAAAAAAAAAGAGAGAGCCACCTTGTCTAAGTCATCTGAAAGCATTGAAAAATCGGATGCTTTGAAATTAACTAGAATAGAAAAGTCGGTAGAGGAAAGACATCCTTGCATCCACAACTTCCATCTTGATCTGAAGCCCATCCCATGCATGATTTTATACAACAATTGCTAATCAACTTTCTCATGTGCCTTCTCTTTTTTCTTAATTGCTAGTCAACTTTCTCATGTGCCTTCTCTTTTCTCATGTGCCTTCTCAAATTCAAGTTTACAAATCAAATCAAGTTTTTGGTCTTATAGTATAGAATGAATACATTCTTGTGCCACAAAAATGCTATATGCAATATGTTTATCCTTTAAAAAAGATGATTAGCGGCCTTCAATGACTAGATGAATAACATGGCGCAATGTGCTTGTTAGGGCTTTTGAAATAATGTTATATAAACTACCCAGAAGGCTAATAGGTTTGCTATCTTTAACTTCCTCAATAACCGACTTTTTGAGTATTAACGTAAGAAATATAGAATTCATGACAACATTAATCTTACCCCTCTAGTAGAACTCTTCTAACATAAAAAACAAATAATCATTTAGAAGGTTCTAAAGGGTTTGAAAGAGGCAAACTATATGGGCAAGGAGATTTGTCTCTAAGCAGTTCAAAAACTATGTCCTTGATCTCTTGCATCTCAAATTTTCTTTCAAGCCACTCTGCTTTATTTTGAGGAAGCTTCATAAAAGAAGCATTATTTGATAACAAATTCAGAAGCTGATCAATAATGAATGCCAAAGTGAAGTGATCAAGGCCTACTTCAGATGGATCATTACAGTCAATGCCCATGCATTTTTAAGTTTTGAATAGAATTACCTCTCTTTCAAGCATTGATAATGGCATGGAAAAATTTAGTGTTACAATTCCCTTCCTTCAACCATCTCACTCTAGACCTTCGTATCTAATAAATATTAACAAATCATGTGCGGAAGAAATTCAATTATTGCTATCATGCATCTGGACATCCGATAAATTCCTTCCATAAATTGAATTCCATCAAGCTGCTCAATCTGTCTTTTCATTGTAGAATTTTCGTCTGTAAGTTTCCCCAAGACACCCTCTTCCAAGTCATAATATTCTCTTGAAGTATTTTAAGTTTAGTAGTCATCTGAAAGCCCTTCCATCCCTCAACCTTAGTGTTACACCAAAAATTTTCAACAAGATCAGAAAGAGACCTACCAGACAACCAGGTTAGCTCAAACTTGAAAGGCGATAGGCTATAAGATAGACAATCAATATTTTAGCCACGTTAAACATTTTAGATCTCCATGCCTTTAGGAAGTTCCCCAAGTTTGAGCAAAGGAATGATTACAATTACTAGAAAGGGGCCTGAGGTGGGATTTTAAAATTTCAAATGGAAAAAGTTTTATATAGAGCCAAGGCTCTAAATAGTCAAATTAGAGCCCACTTAAAAAATTTCACTAGAAGAGGTTGTTTTGATGCTCAAATATCCTTTAATCGATCATCTCGACATCAAGATGCATCGACATAAGGAAAAAATGAATTCCACGCTTTGGAAATAGTGCATCTTGTAATGTATTTTTGGACCATCAATTTTAAAGATTTTCAAGTTTTCATATATCTACTCGATCTACACTATTTTTGATGCTTGTGATTTTATAATTAAAGATGAAAGTATATTTTAAGGTTATCATAAAGATTTTCAATATAAAAACCAGATTTCTCAACACTATTTAGAGCCTCGGCTCTATACAAACCGCACCCATTCAAATTGGCCACTTTATTTCCATCAAATTTCACTACCCATTCTTGAATAATGCATTTACCTCAAATGTATGAAAGGAAAGAAAACTGGTATATGGAGGAGTACGGACTAAGCTTGAGGATGTCAAGGCACGCATAATGGTTGCTATGCGCACTTGGATTCAAACATGAAAGAATTTGCACTGGTTTCCAAAGAGGATATCAGCAAGCATATGCATATTTTAGCCACCATAGAAAGGGCGAAAGACTTTAAGGTGGAGGAGCGGACGAAGCCAAGTGAAGGTTGGTTTAAATTGAATTTTCATGTTATCTCTAAAAATCTTCAAGGCCCAGCAGGGCGCCGCGGTGTAATATGTGATTACATGGGAGATGTCGTTTTTTCTTCTGCAGTTCCCTTCCACCCATGTACAGCTAATGAGACTGAAATCAAAGCTTTGAATGGTGAGATTTTGAAAGTAGAGGAGCATCATTATTGAGTTATTGTTATAGAGGAGCATCATTATAGAGTTATTGTTGAGGGAGACTCTTTGAATCTAATATCTTCGTGTTTTACTACCTGCGGGGGTGGAGGCACTCAATGGATGAGATCCAATACTTAATTAGCAGGCAGGATCTGCAGATTCATACACATCCACAGGGAGAGGAATAACAAATCAGACCAGATGGTGCGGTTCGCTACAGTGGAAGAGGTTTAATGCTATTTTTCAGTTTGTAGCAGTTGGGGTGTTTCTTTTCCTTCTCCCTATCAGCTTACCAAAAAAATAAATCCCTTCCAACCATCACTGACATACATGAATTTGTAACTTCTTTCAAGGTAATTCAGTTTTAGCAAAACTGCTTCACATAAACGGGTCTTGCAGATACCACAACCGTTTCCTTGGGGGGTAGTTCCATCATAAATTTTTAAGTTGAAATTGGCATTTTTGCAACATCTTAAACACTCAAGCCAAGCCTGAAACCTAATTTTAATAAGGTCACTTGCATCCGCAGTCAGCTATGTGTATGAAGATAAGTATAGTAGGCCAGCTTGACACCAAATCCTTTCTTAAAGAAAAAAAGGCTGAACAAGCAAGCAAAGAGAAAAGAGAACTTCTTCCTTGGCAATAAGAAAAGGGGCTTGCCACAGAGAGTTTTACAGGGCATTCTGAAAAGAATAATCTAAATGGGTATTAGAGCTATCACAATTAGCAAAGATGTGAGGATAAAGAGATTCGAAAAAGTAGCTTCAAATTCATTATACATTCTTTTTTATAGATCGAGATCCTTAAAAGTTCATGAACCATAATCACCAACAACCACCCTTATCACCAATGCAACCATGTTAGCCCAAAAACTGATGTTCCTGAAAACACACACTGAGAGAGAGAGAGAGAGAGAGAGCAATCAACAAGGAAGCATATAAACTAACCTCAAAAGTCATGATACATCACTACCACCACCATTGATACAAAATTCTCAGGAGGACCAAGAGAGTACCTTTGTGTAGTTTCATAAGTAGTAAGATAAAGGATTTCTACAAAGAGTTTGTCCTACACAAGGGTTCTGCATCAGGTGGATCCAGGCTATTACACTCGTTTTTCTCCATGTTCATTGGTACACTTTCAACAGGTTGATCAATGGGAATGGTGATCGGCTGCATCTCAAGCTTCTTCTTCTCCTTGAGAACTACCTGGCGTGGCATTACCTCGAGCAAGAAGCTCCCTCCATTCCACACTGATGCTGAGACCTTGAGAATTTGGAAAGTGAAGTGCATCTTGTATGACTTGAAGATGGGGACTGTGAGTGCAGTTGTAGCAACAGTGAAGGCACCTTGGAGAACAATGTACATGAGCGCTCGGTTTTGGTCGCCGAGAACACCACTCAGACGCCACCAGATGTTGTTTGCTTTTTGCGCCTTCTTGGATAGCTCCCTGTGCCAACAAATAGTGATATACATGCATACGAGAGAGAGAGAGAGAGAGAGAGGGGGGCCAACCTATAAGAGGTCATGACTTCAGGATCTCTCAGTAGTCTTTGCCGCCGAAGTACATTAACAATGAGGAAATAAAGCAGCTGCCAAAGGGTGTAAGCGACTAAAGGAACCCAAAATAGCCAAGTCCACAATTCGGCATTGTCCTCGACAGAGGGCCATGCAGCCTTGACGCCTGCTTGTTGTCCGGCATCAACATCACCAAGTCTAGTTGGGTCCCACCACCGTATGGTGAAGAAAACAATACCTGCAAAAGCCAATGCAAATAATAGATTAACAAGGCCAATGTCGTTAGGATGCATAGAGTGCTACTAATAGAATAAACTAACTTCACAATAATTGTAATAATAGGATCAAAGGGAACTCCTATGCAAAATTGGGATCTAAGTTAGTAGAATGTCTTTAGTGAATAATTGTAATAATAGGATCAAACGGAACTCCTATTCAATATTGGGATCTAAGTTAGTAGAATGTCTTCTGTCATGCAAAATTCCAAAATATAATTTACAAATCTAAGAGCTCAACAAGGATATGGATACAAGAAGCAAGGATATAGTTCATTATTTCATGGAATTCACATCATGGAAAGTGGTGCAAATATCGTAATCAACACTTGGCATAATATATACTATAGTGAGGATACATAGTAGACATATGAATTATAATCTGGGAATAGATGCACCTCACAAAACAGTAGGCAGATCTTCATTTTGAGCTGAAATGGATGCTGAATTAGATGAGATTAGGAATCTCAGATAAGACCCTAGGTGACTGAGAGGTGATTTCAAAGATTTAAGGTTCTCATTTGTACAAAAAAAGAGGCCAAAGACCAAATTGGCCATAAGCAGGTCTACATATTTTACACTGTGTTGCCTAACATGACATTGTGGATCATCAATGAAACCCTGTTGTGGATCTTCCTTTGAGGGGCACAGCATATAATTAGGTTGAACACAAATATGACTTTTCTTGATCGCGTTTTGAAGTTTGGCATGGTGACTGAGAAGCTACTGAGTCAGACCTTCTTCGACCCTATTCTGACCATAGAATCTCCTCAAATTCTTGGTCATAAGTAGAGGTCTCATTCTCTTCAGGTAAAAAATAATGTGGCTGACTCATCCAACTCTTAATCAGCATTTCATTGAATGGTGGAAGGAACCAGTGGTGAATGGGCGAGTGGGTTTTGTTATCGAGAACACTCCTTGAGATCCAACGGTTGATTAAAGGATTGGAACAGGACCACACAAGAGCGAACATTTTTGAGGTCAAATTTGCCTTCATCCACAAGAATGAAAAGTCTACTACTATGAGAAATGACAAGGGCATATGTTGAGCTGGTTTGAGGAGGGATCATCATTATGTCATTAGTGGGAGGGTACACCAACAAACGTCCAAGGTTAAATGGTAACATAAAGGGGAAAAGGTAGTTTATTTGATAAGATGGCAAATTCAATAAGCAGAGGGAATCAGATCCAAAACATATATGTAACTGGCTAAGGACTTTCTTCCAGAACCTTTCACACTTCAGATGATAAAGCTAAACTAGACAAAACCCATTTCGAAATGGTGAAGGCTCTTGAGTTCGAGAAGACTTTCAGAAAGGATAAAGTAAAAAAGATTGCTTTTGCTCTTACTGGAGTCTAGAGACATGGCCCAGAGACGAAAAGAGACATGGCCCAGAGACCAAATGTTTCTTCGTTTTCCAGTATTAGTCTATAAAAGGAAGTTAATGGGGTAGTTTCAATAGTTTCTGGAGGGAAATTGAATAAGGGGCTAAATGCAGCTTTTACATTTGTCCCTACATTGCAAGGGCTGATTTTGATAGCAATTTTGGGCATAACAGTTTGGTGAGTAGTGTGTACAAGATCCTCACTGAAGTCCCCCAGTGGTTGAAGGAATTTGTCAGATACATTATGTCATCTCCCAAAGGTGCCCCGGTTAGAAATAAATAGAAAACTCATGGTGCATATGGAGGACAGTCCAAAGGGGCCGTGGACAAGGTTAGAAGGGCCACATGGCACTGATTTACTTTTCTGTAAAAAGGTTCTCAACAAGAGCAGGATTTTTCACTTGAAAAGGAAAAAAGAGAGGAGAAAAAAAATACTTTTAAGGTAATTGGTTCGCCTAGATGATCTTTCAGCAACTCAAGGGAAAGGTGCCATTTTTCCACTTAATTTTTCCTGATTGTTGCTGAAACCTTTAGCAGGAAGAGGAACGCTAATAAGACAACTCATTCATTTGAGGCGTTTAAGTCTTCCTACATGATCGTCTGTGCACCACCACCAAAAGTAAGGTAAACCACTATGCTATCTAAGCTTTTTGTCTCATCTAGTTTGCAAAAAATGCTTTAGTTTTTAATGGGTAGAACAGTTTGAGAATTTCATATTCACCCTCAGATTCTTTTAATGCATTTGGCTGCAGGCAACAGGATCAACTTTTGCTTGTGTATGTGTATGTGGGGACGTGGGTGGCAGGGGGGGGGGTTGCGCACATGTGTGTGCGAGAGAGAGAGAGAGAGAGAGAGAGAGAGAGCTTGATTTATGGGGATTAATGGTCAGAAGAGTTAGAAGAGAATTTTGTTTGTTAAATGGTTGCATTCCTTTCTAAGGATATACCTATACAGCCTCTGTTTAATAGATACAGTGAAGCAAATGGAAAATGTTGAGATATAAAAGATCTAAGTTAGTTTCACCAAAATTAACCAGAAAAATATGACAGTCTTGGAAGCAATCATTATCATTATTGAATACGTAAGGAGTTCCATCATGAAATGACCATCTCGTTGAAGTCATAAACTACAAAAGGAAACATGCCAATATCACTTAAGTAGATCTAGGTTAATAGCAGTGTTCCCTCACAACCTTCCACTATAAATGAAGAAACAATTGGGTTAGGAAACGACATTTGAAAGCAAATTAGAAGCTTAAAAGTGGGAGAACACTGAGTTTTCTTCATTCAAAGAACATGCACTCAGTTTAAGGCCATTTTTTACAGATTGACCAACTTAATGCCGTTAAATAGAATAGTTCACTTATAAAAAAGAGAATAGTGTTTTCAGCAGTTATACAAGACAATTCCTTACCAGGTAAGAGGTGTATCAGCACACTAACAATCTTGTCCAATGAACTGAAAACAAGGCTACAACGCCAAACAATCAGCGCCCAGGCTAGTGGGCCCTACAAAACCAAGAAACATACTTTGAGGAAAATCACAGTCGAGCAAACCGCAAGATCCAGCAAAGTAAGACACCATGAATCTGCAGTTACCTCAGCAAATGAGAAGCACACCATGAATAGCTTTTCATTTTTTGGGTATAAAAGAAGCATAAACAAGAAAATTGTATTGGCATAGTAGCAAAAGTCCTGAAAAATAAAAAACATTGTCAGAAATGACTGCATGACTGGCAACACATCAGATTGATGCACTACTATTGCAATGACTTTTTTCATTTTCTGGTTGACTACAATAAGAAAAAGAAATAATATGTAAAGATGTGTGAGGCAAGGGAAAAACAACCAAGAAGAGAAACGGACAGCTAAAATCTTTCTATTGTAATTTCAAAAACATCAACATAATGATATATGAAAATGTCAAGATCATGCTCAATAGCTATAAGCCTATAACCATCCCAAAAAATGAGAATTTGAATTTATCTCCATAATTATAAATAATAACTTGCAATAACCTCAACACAGCACATGAGCATAAAAATGAAAAGGCTAATCAGGTAAACAAGGACAAAAGTCAACACTTTAACAGCAATAGTAAGGAAACAAAAGATATTCTGAAACATAAGTTAGGATATCTTGAAGGAAAAGGATTGATTAGGAATAGACTAGAACTGCAAATCAAGTTTCAGGTAAGGACTAGTCATATTAATGAATTATGTTAGCATATAAGTGGCAATTACAAAAAGTTTGGCTTTTTTCCCCTATTACTGAGTTGTCCCCGTTTGAAGTGATATGTTAGCTTTCAGGAAAGTTTGAACCAACTATACAAAATTTATAAGTAAACTAGAAAACATGAACCGTGCCCTGTTCACAGTTCAAGAATATTTACCAGAGCCCAGATGCAATAGCAAGCCAACAAAAGATATAAAGAAGCAAGGAAATCCCATTCATTTGAGGCCCCAGAATCAATGGAACCAAATTAAAACTAATGCAAAACCATATCATAGAGCACTGAGAAAAAAGCGAAATATAACAAATACTAATGAAACTCCTTGATTTACATGTTGGAAAACACTCAAATAGGGGAAAAACAAATCAGTAATTCACTTAATTTAAATCAAGCACTCACCAGAAGGTAATAATGCCACTTCATGAATCGATAATATATCCATCGAAGAGGAACAAATGTCACATAGAACAAACAGTAGATGTATGGTATATCTTGTGGCCCTGTGTTGAGAGAGAGAGAGAGAGAGAGAGAGAGAGAGAGAGATTCACATCTAGTTTAC